GGCAAAATTGGCCGAACCTCGTAAATTCTGGTGTTCTTTTATTGTTGTCTTATTGTCTTGTTTATTATTTAGTGGTTGTCATAATTTTTGGTATAGTAGTTGTGACTCATTCACACTATATACATTTGGCTTCCGCAACATCTGCAATAGCGATTAATAAAACGTGGAGTTATGTATTTGATTTTAAAAAAAAAAAATTAAAACTGTGGCAAATTGCATTTTGCATTATATAGAGGAGGGTTGTTTATTTTGGGTAATATGTTTGATGCAGATTCCCACCTACATTACTAAAGAAGTTGAGTAAGGAATGCCTTGTGCTACAAAGAAACAAGGTGAGTCCTAGAAAATGTGTTTGCACTTACTGATAATTTTATAGTGATACTGGGATATCACAATCATACCCTGACAATAGTTTGTCTATTTCTTTTCTTCTTCTTGGTTGGCATTTCTAAAATATTTCAATGTGATTTATTCTTTTTGTTTCCCTAATTCAACAGTATGGCTTATCACCGGAAAAGTTTCAAGCAAATGATGATCTGTCTAGCTTTTTCATTATGTTGACTACCAGCACAGATACACGCAACAAGGTACATAGTCTATATATTGAGCTGCCTCCTTCTGATATACATATGGGTGTTTAGCAAGTGGTATCGATCGAAAGTAAAGATTTTGGAGTAGTTTAATTTTCAACACAATGTGTGATCATGTTTCTTAACTGATGAATCAGGTCTTTGTTTCTACTCTTCAAGCAGAAAACTATCCAATAACTGCTTTACAGTGGCATCCAGAGGTACCTCTGCACCAGATTTTCTACTGAATTACGGATAATTATGATTATTTGTCATCTTATTAAATCCAAGATAGCATACTGCAAATGTAATTGAATGTGTTGCTTACATTCTGAGCCTTTGAAATTGTGCTCTATTACTTCTTCTCTAAACTTATTGAGATGTGAGATACTCTTTACTTGATAGGTATCCTAAACAGACTCCTAAAGAGGGCTGTGATATAAGAGTGAAACTGGGTCTTTCAGATGATCTACAGAAAGAATTAACTTGCTGTAGTATCATTGTTTCTCTGCTGTATCGCGGTATCCTTTCGAGAGTTTATCTAGAACATAAAAAGTTGTCAGTTGATCTCCTTAGTTAGGAGCTAAATAGGGTAGTATACTCTCCAAAGAACTTCTCATATATTTCCTTGAAGGGGAATGGCAGAACTTAATCATAATGTACAGAACGAACTAGAATTATAACGGAGTAATATTTATTTGGTTTAATTGTCCTCAATACTGCAGAAAAGTGCTTTTGAATGGGGATCATCAGCAATTCCACATTCTGAGGATGCAGTTCAAGTGACTCAACTTGTTGCCAACTATTTTGTCAGGTACACCTCTTTTGCTTATTATAGCCTTTTGTGCCCCAAGGAAAGGAGAATCTGGTTCACATTCATGTCATTATCACAATGAGAACTCAGAAAATGAAACACATTAGACAAATATGGAACTAGAGTTTGTGTTTTCGTGAAACGACTAAGCAGAAGCTTCACAGGAATAGTTTTTTGGACCACAATGTCTTTCACAAGTAACATTTTTTCCCCATGACTTTTACAAGTAAACTAAACCAGTTAGATCTTTTATTCAAAGGTAGTACTTATGGTTGCAAGGTTTCTCTTATTTTACATATCTTGAAATGCAGTGAAGCAAGAAAGTCTTCTAATAAACCGGATGCTCAAAAAGTACTTGACAACCTCATCTACAATTACAGTCCCACTTATAGTGGAAATGCTGGGTAAGTTGTTCTGCAATTTGATATTTCTAGTTAGCAATCACCTTAATTTTCAGGAATTCAGTTTGATGTGTAAATGTCTTTTCTCCTGCAGGAAGGGTTACGATGAGGTTTACATTTTCAACGGTCCTGCATTGAGCTCTCTTTAGGTGCAGAGGAAATGCAAATGACCTAGTAACAATATTAGAATAATCCCGAGTGTAACATTTGGTAAACGAAGGGACTTCTCGAGTTGCATCTGAGACTATTGATGCTTCGAACAATCTCCAGTTTCATTCCAAATAACTAGCACTTGATTGATAATAGCTCCGCTCTAGTATCATGGCGTGCGTGTCTCTATGTGTGTGGGTGTGTGTTTTTGAGTTTCAGTTATAAATATCCTGCATCAGCCCACAAACAAGATTCTTGAATGGTTTCTATCTTGTATTAAGGATAGAAGTACCGCAGCAGATTGCAATTACCTTGTACTTAGTAGCTATCATCATAATGTCGGGATAGAAAGAAAAGAAAAGCCGTAGGACCCTCTAGATAACCGCAGTGCATTAGTGGCATTTTCAAAATTATTGTCGCAACTCTCTCTAACAACATCCTTATATAACAGTTATTCACTATAAAAGTCAAGTTTTCCTCAGAACTGATTTTTTAAGTAATACTTTACCTCTCTATAAAACCTTTTTATCTACAACAACAACAACCATATTTATAGCAGAACATTCTTTATAAAATTACTCATCTATAACAACCATATTGAATCTTTAAGATTACTAATAGTAATTCTAAAAACATGCACACAATCTTTTCTAATGAACAAAATTTATATCTTGCATATGATATAAGATTTGAAAATATGCACATGATATCTTTTCCATTGGACAAATTTCAAAAAATATTTAGATAGGAGATTTAACTGTTAAGCTTTTAGATTGTCTTCAAGGAAAACTATCGGATACCTTTTGCTGAAAATTTGGACAAGCATCAATTCAAACGTTATATCGCTAGTAAGAGAATGAAATCTATGAACCAAGCTACAATTACAAAGTTCTTCCATCAATCTTTAAAAAAATTATTTTTCTAGGTAGCTTTAAAATGTGTGCCTTAGAGTTTAAATCTTTATATTATTTGTTCCGAATTTATTAATAATGTATTAGGTTTTTTCAATATTTAACTAGTGAAATATGCATATCTTTTGATATTTTAAATTCTAATAATTTTCTTATCTTTTATATACAATGTTAGAAAAAGGAAAAATAATTAACTTTTGGAAAATTTTTATTTGTAACAGCCAAAGAATTATCCAAGCATCAAATGTTGTTATAGGTGTATAATAATCATTCACTATAAAAGCCAAAAAAATATCGAAACAGACGAGGCTGTTATAAAAAGGGTTAACTGTAATTCGATATTACTACTATATTATAATGCTAACTGATCATAAATCAGAGAACAGCTCTGGCAACTCGGTTGACGAAAGTTGCAGCTTAGTTCGCAGTAACGGAAGTGGTCTATAAAAAATAATGGATACAGTAATACTCTGTATCCACTGACTCAAAATTCCGACACCATCTTATGTGGACATCAACATTTCACACAAAGTCATATTTCTACAAACAGCAAGCTAAGTTTATTTCATCAAATATTGATCCTACTAAAATCCAACTAAGGTTGAAAGCTAATTAGATCAACTAAACAAGAGCAAGTGTTTCAACATATCGTAAGCATGATACCATTTGTACACAATAAAACCTTCAATGCTGAGATGAAGTTCTCCTAGCTGCACTTTCAGAAGCTCCTTGATATCCATACTATTGATATCATAAGAGATCATTTTCTGGTACTGAGCGGATCTACCTTTGCCCAATCCGTCGAAAATCTTTACTAATTATTTATATAAAATTCAAATGAAAACACAAGAAAATAGTAAAATAAAATAAGTGACACCACTTGTCACACAGAGGCGTCTAGCTTATCTGGTCAAAGTTTGAAGATATCTATTCAAGGCCGTGAGTTCAAACCGGTGAGGCCTCATTCTATGTTTTAATAATTTTGTACTACTTGACTAGCACAATACATTTTTTTAGTTCGAACCTGCGTGGCCTCTGTAATGACCCAATCGGTCATTTTAACTTTTAAAACCCCGTTCTCTAAAATAAAACTTCCTGAATGTGCTTTTATTGATTTATGACTTGCGAGGATGGTTGGTTTGGAATTTGAAAGTGTTCGGGTTGAAATCAGAACACTTGGTTCCTTAAGTTAGCCTTAAAAAGCCAAGTTTGACTTTGGTCAATATTTTGAGCAAACGGACTCGGATCAGTGTTTTGACAATTTTGGTAGGTCCGTATCGTGATTTGGGACTTGGGCGTATGCCCGGAATCAAATTCCGAGGTCCCTAACCCGAGATATGGAATTTTAATGAAAACAATTAAAATATTTAAGTTCAAATAGTAACCGGATGTCGAATAATGTGCAAACGACCTCAGAATAGAATTTTGATGATTCTAACAGCTCTGTATGGTGATTTTGGATTTAGGAGCGTGATCAGAATTTTATTTGGAATTCTGTAGTGAAATTAGGCTTGAAATGGTTAAAACAAGAATTTAAGTTTGGAAGTTTGACCGGGGAGTTGACTTTTTGATATCGGGGTCGGATTCCGATTCCGGAAGTTGGAGCAGGTCCGAAATGTCAATTATTACTTGTGTGCAAAATTTGAGGTCAATCGGACTTGATTTGATAGGTTTCGGCATAGGATGTGGGAGTTAGAAGTTCAATAGTTTATTAGGCTTGAATCGATGCGCAATTCATGGTTTCGATATTGTTTGATGCGATTTGAGGCCTCGAGCGAGTTCGTGTTGTGTTTTGGAATAGGTTGGTATAATTGGACGGGGTCCCGAGGGCCTCGAATATGTTTTGGGGTGGCTTCGGATCGAATTTGGATGAAAAGCTACTGCTGGTTTGCTGGTTCTGGTTTTGTTCTTCGCGAACGCGAAGGGAATCCCGCGTCCGCGAAGAAGGAAAATGGTGGCTGCTATCTTGTGCTTCGCGAACGCGATCAGTGGGTCGCGAACGCGAAGAGGAGTTTTGAGGCTGTTGGGTTTTGGCTTTCCCGAACGCGAGGTGTAGTTCGCGAACGCGGAGCGATTGACTGAGAAAACTACGCGAACGCGTAGAAGAAAGGAGGAGACGGGCCTAAGGCTATTTGGCCTACACGAACGCGATGGCTTGAACGTGAACGCGATGCCTTGCATGGACATGTCTTCGCGAACGCGACACTGGTCACGCGAACACGAAGATGAAATACTGAGGCAGGAACATTTGGCCTTCGCGAACACGAGGCATTAGTCGCGAACGCGAAGAAGAACGGTTCTGGGCAGTGTTCTGTTAAAGACGGGGGTTGGACTCATTTTCACTCCATTTCTTCATGGGAGTCGATTTTGGGGACGATTGTTTAGCACCATTTCCACCATCAACCATGAGGTAAGTGATTCCTACTAGTTGTGAGCTAAATACAAGGTCTATACATGGATTTAGAGATGAAAATTTGTAAAAAAAATTGGAGTTTTGAAGAAAAACCTAGAAATTGGTGTTTTTGATTTTTCACTACGAAAATGGTTATGAAATTGGATAGAAATGATATATTTGAGTTCTTGAGATTATGGGTAACGATTCCCTCCGAAAATTTTCGAAATCCGAGCACGTGGGCCCGGGGTGAATTTTAGGAATATTACCATTTTGGGTTGGGTAATTGAATTAATAGCCATATTTCGAATTATTGAACATGTATTAATTATTTTATATAACTTTTGGATAGTTTCGAATTTTTCGGCATCGAATTGAAGTTTTTACACGACATCGTGATCGGAAGTGGGCTTTGAGACAAGGTAAGTCTCTTGTCTAATCTTGTGAGGAGAAAATTACCCCATAGGGATTAAATTAAATAATTGTTACTAATTGCGGGGGTTACGTACGTACGGGGTGACGAGAGTCCGTGCGTAGCTACTATTAATGTTAAAGTCCGGGTAGTTTAGGACTCAAAGCATGAATTACATGTGTACATTGTAGTCTTTGGAGTTTGGGTCGTGACAACATGGTATCAGAGCACTAGGTTCACTTAAGTCTCACGAGTCATGAGCAAGTCTAGTAGAGTCTTGCGGATCGGTACGGAGACGTCTGTACTTATCTTCGAAAGGCTACAGGGCTGTTAGGAATACTTCCCTTTTGATTCCTCGTCGTGCAATTCGATTCCTTTGAGGCTTATGCCTTAATTTCCTTCTTATTCAATCTTATGCGACGCGAAGCACTTGTTATAAATTGGGGATCGAGGAAATTTTTAATGGTACTACAGATGTAGTGCAGGATGCTTCTCCCTGTGTAATTAATTGGACTATTGTCGTCGCCTTACGGAAGGACGCTCTGTCGTTTCAAGTTAAGTATCAATACTACCTAAGGTTTTAAAATTTGGCATTGATAGTTACGACGATTCGTGCATTGTTATCGCACATTGTCTATGTGCCAGAGCAGTAAACGAATTGAAAGAAGGTTTTCTCAGTACATGATTCAGAGGTTCCAAGTTTTAATTCCAGTGGAGAAAAGGCAATCGGACTATGAATGTTCAGGTTTGGGATTGATAGAGTAACGAAGCTTGATATTTTTAAGTGTGGTAGAATTCTCAATTTTGATGTGGTGTCGTCGCCTTGTAAAATGCGTTAAGGTTTGCCGGTGTTATGGTTTTCTTCAACTCGCCTTCATGACGGGGTGTTAGGAATTTGTATAGGGGAAGAAGTCGTTAGAGATCACGGTGTGCAGTGATTCAGGATCGAAGTAGCGTTCCTAGTATTGATGTCTCGAGAAGGATGATCGTTAGAAGGGTTTAAAGCTGGTAACGAGCTATTGGTTCAAGTGCTACAGAGACGGACTTTTAGTAAGGCAACAACTGGGTAGCAAAGGATGAGAAAGGACGTGTGGAAGGTGTCTTGTGGTGGTTAAGTTCCTAGGAGGCCAAGTGTAAGAAAACAGAAGTCGAGTAGTTGCTTAAAGGAGAAGGGTTTGACCAAAGTGAGAGAGTGGCAAAGTAGCATATGGGTTACGTGGTAGGATAACTATACGGCTTGAGAAAAGTTTGAAGTGATTTGGGATTCATGGTGGACAGTGACTAAGTCTACGGGCTTAATTTGGAATATTGGCTGCTATGTTGAGGAAGATTTGGTATGACAGGAGAGAGTTGCTTGATATGAAGAAGGATACAACATGACTTTGGATTGGAATGTATTGTTGCACCTCTAGTTGACGTCCATGAGGAGTGAACGGACTGGTGCAGCTGGTGAATGA